ACACACTATTTATTCACTCATACACTTATTTATCTAACACTCATACTCAGTCTACACCTCAAATGTGCACATAATATACAGTACATGTGCATACAAAACTGTCTATTGTAATATACCTGCACATACAATTGTCAATTTATATATTTGTATTCCTTATTTACTTGTTCTATTTTTTTATTTTTTTATTATCTGTGTTTTTTGTTCTGTCACTGTCATTCTGTTACACTGTGGAACCTTCTGTCACGAAAACAAATTCCTCGTATGTGTAAACATACCTGGCAATAAAGCTCATTCTGATTCTGATTCTGATTAGCATGATTAGCAAGTTACTAGCATGTTGCTAGCATGTTTCTAGCATGATTAGCAAATTACTAGCATTTTGTTAACATGTTGGTGTTGCTATGCGGTTGCTAGGGTACCTAAAGTGGTTGCTAGGGTGTTACTAAGCTACCTGGGGTGGTTTCTAGGATGTTGCTATGCGGTTGCTAGGCTACCTGGGGTGGGTGCTAGGGTGTTACTATGCAGTTGCTAAGGTACTCAGGGTGGTTGCTAGGGTGTTACTTTGCGGTTGCTACGGTAGCTGGGATGTTGCTAGGTGGTTGCTAGGCCACCTGGGGTGGTTGCTAGGGTGTTACTATGTGGTTGCTATGGTACCCAGGCTGTTGCTAGGGTGTTGCTTTGCGGTTGCTACGGTACTCAAGGTGGTTGCTAGGGTGTTACTGTGCAGTTGCTAGGGTACCTGGGTTGGTTGCTAGGGTGTTGCTATGCGGTTGCTATGGTACCCGGGTTGGTTGCTAAGGGTTGCTATGCAGCTGCTAAGGTACCCAGGGCCATTGCTAGGGTGTTGCTATGCGGTTGTTAGGGCACCCAGAGTGGTTGCTAGGGTGTTGATAAGCTACCTGGGGTGGTTGCTAGGGTGTTGCTAGGTGGTTGCTATGGTACCCGGGGTGGTTGCTAAGGTGATGCTAGGCAGTTGCTAGGGTGTTGCTATGCAGTTGCTATGGTACCTGGGGTGGTTGCTAGGGGGTTGCTATGGTACCCCGGTGGTTGCTAAGGTGTTGCTATGCGGTTGCTAGGGTACCCAGAGTTGTTGCTAGGGTGTTACTAGCATGTTGTTAGCATGATTAACAAGTTACCAGCATGTCTCTTGCATGATTAGCATGTTACTAGCATGCTGTTAGGTCTCTCTCATGAACACTTCAAGTGTTCATCTCATGAATACTTAACAATAACTGTGGAACACACACTATTTATTCACTCATACACTTATTTATCTAACACTCATACTCAGTCTACACCTCAAATGTGCACATAATATACAGTACATGTGCATACAAAACTGTCTATTGTAATATACCTGCACATACAATTGTCAATTTATATATTTGTATTCCTTATTTACTTGTTCTATTTTTTTATTTTTTTATTATCTGTGTTTTTTGTTCTGTCACTGTCATTCTGTTACACTGTGGAACCTTCTGTCACGAAAACAAATTCCTCGTATGTGTAAACATACCTGGCAATAAAGCTCATTCTGATTCTGATTCTGATTAGCATGATTAGCAAGTTACTAGCATGTTGCTAGCATGTTTCTAGCATGATTAGCAAGTTACTAGCATGTTGTTAGCATGATTATCAAGTTACTAGCATTTTGTTAGCATGTTTCTAGCATGATTAGCAAGTTACTAGCATGTTTCTAGCATGATTAGCATGTTGTTAGCATGCTTCTATGCTAATCCAGCTAAAAACAGTTGATTCAGTAAAATAAACAGCTAAAAACCAGCTAAGACCAACCTGACCTGCTAAAAAAGTGGCCAAAACCACTTTAAAACCAGCTTAGGAGACCAGCCAAAGCAGTCAATCAGCTTAGGCTGGTTTTAGCTGGGGGTTTTTTTCAGTAGAGAGTTGTTCAGCTCTGCTATAGCAATAGACAGCTTAAATACACCATAAGTCTTATTTTATAAAAGTTTTCAATGAAAGTCTATGGGATTTTAGGTGGTTTTGATAGTCTGGTTTACGAAAACCGTAAGCCGGATCAGTTAGAAAAGAAATAGCAACCCGAGTCAGACCAGTCTGAAGGTCTGACCTGAGTTTGGTGGTTGTAGCTTCAAAAGTCTAGGAGGAGATACATTTTAAAATTTGGTCTAAGAAGAAGTTGTTTAAATAGGATTTCAGTAAGATGGATTTTTCAAGCCAACTTAATAATAACAATTTATACAAATAATATTTATAAAAATAAATGTATTAATATTTAATAAAAATACTTTGTCCGCTAATAATATTTAACCTTAATTTTCTCCACGCATGATATATTTCATACTTCATCTCAAATTTTTAATTAGAAAAGAATATTGTTTGGGAAAAACGATGGATGTGGTGGAAACGACGGCATATTTTTACGCTCTGTAAATTTAAATCTGTGAAACTTGGTTTATGTTTATTTCATTCTTGTTGTGAGACTATCATAGTTTTTAAAACGTAGTAATTCACGTTTTTCTGAACTTTCATTTTTTAAGATTGTTCGTCTGGATCTGGAGTTAAACAGTAAAATAAAATCTGGACATCTGAAAAAGTGAATGCATTTATGAAAAGCATGGTTTAAAAAAAGTTTCCAGTGCAGGTATAATGAAACCTTCATATCTTCATATAAAGTTACATTTTCATTACACTATCTCTGTTGAGATAAAAAATGTAATTGTACCCCGAGAACATATTGCAACTTTTAGAACTAACAAACTCAGACAAACTATATTATGCCCGCATTTGCACAAAAATAAAACCTTGTCTAACTTTACTATCATTATAAGAGGACCTCAGTGAGACTTACAGGAACTTCTTTCGCTTCCAAAACCATCACACTGAACGACAATACATGCACTGTTTCCAGCTGATATAATGTTTGCTGTGTTTTGTCAGGATGGCATGAAGATGTGTGAGTTCATGCAGAACACTCTCACAAGACTCCTCCGGTTGGTCTTTCTGAAGAAGCGAGCAGATTAGAGCAATCAAGACACCAGGGGTCAATACTGTACAAATATTTTTGAACAAAATTTGAAGAAAGTCGAGAATCTTTGCCACACCATGAGATTCAGCTCCTGTCCCTCCTTTAGAAAGATGCACGTTTCAAAGGCTAGTATGCTGCATTGTTATTAATGTGACCATGTGAGCGGTGTCTAATTATCATTCTGAAAATAAATGTCTAATTTTATATGTTTTATTTCAGTTTTGTGTAAAGATGTCAGTCTGATCAAATGATGAGTCAAAATAGACACGTTCAAAACTGTGGCGGTAATTACTTCCATTACTTTATTCATTAAACAAGTGAAGCTTACCTTTCAGATGTAACATTATACTATTCTACTAGTATTATTAACTAGTATTATTACTCATTCTCTTTATATATATATATATATACTGTATATACTGTATATATAAATGCAGCTTACCTGCATGAGCGTTTACCACAAAAAAACCTTCCCCACAGTGGATTAGGGAGTTTGCACTTTGGTCGTACAGTCATTTTGCAGTGCATTGTGGGATTGAATTAGTGCATTCAGTAATTTCCACTATGATTTGCATACCCCACACGCTTAAAAATATAGGATCCAAAAAGCAGGTGTCTGATTTTGTACTAAATATACTAAAAATGATTCTTTAGTACTTCTTAAGAACATCTAAGTGTACTCAAATGTGCTATTTTGAGACATTGTGAATATGAACTAAAATGTGCTTTTAACACTATCTGTGTATTAAAAAATGTATTTAGTGACCACTTGTAGTACACATAAACCCCCCAATGTATGAAAGATGTTCATATTCACGGTGTCTCAAAATAGCACATTTGAGTACACTTAGATGTTCTTAAGATTAAGAAGTACTAAAGAATGATTTCTAGTATATTAAGTACAAAATTAGTGCGTGAAAATAGAGCACTTTAAGTACATTATGCACGTGCACTTTTTTCCGCCTGGGATAATGTTAGAAAAGAGATTTTGTACCTCAAACAGTCTGTTTGAGGTATCTTGGAATGAGGAGGGAGGTATGTATTCTGAAAGTTACAGTGCGTTTCTACAAATCATTTTATCTCAAAAGATCAAAGAAAATTCCTGATGATATTAAGATTTTCAAATAGTTGTCTCTCGGTCAAATATTGTCCGATCCTAACAAACCACACATCAATGGACAGCTTATTTACCCAGCTTTCAGATGATGTATAAATCTCAATTTTGAAAAATTGACACTTAAGACTGGTTTTGTGGTCCAGGGTCACATATTACTAAATTAATATAATCTATCTAAATGTTGCATCTTTCAGAGTTTTGTCATTGCAAGAATTTCTGCACATTCATGCAGTCCTTTTATTAATGGCATACTTTGCCATAGTGTACAATTTTGTCAATACAGTTTTACAATCTATCTATCTATCTATCTATCTATCTATCTATCTATCTATCTATCTA